ACACCATCAGGTCCAAACTCTGGCTCAGTTCACATACTCAAGTCACTGTAGCCAATCAGCACCTGTCTGCCTGGTGTCAGACTCACCTCGACATCAACTCTGGCCTGCCTCTTAATTCTTGAACACATGACTGACCATCCTCTGGGCCTCAGTTTTCCCATCTGTCACCTCGGCATGATGAGAACAGCAGATTCATAGGGCTGTTGTAAAAATCTGATGAGATCAGCCTAGCACCAATGAACTCTGAGAAGTGGAAGCTCCTATTGTTATTATTCATTCAACAAATATCAGTGCCAGGTGGGGATGGAGGGGTAAGGAGACAGGCATGATCCTTGAGCTCTTGGAAGAAGGCACCAAGAGGGAATCTAACTCTGGTGTCATCAGCATTACCTGGAACTAGTTAAATGCAGGTTCCTGGGCCCCATTGCCCAGAGTCTGGGATGGCCGTGGAATCTGCTGCTTGAGCTACCCCCACTCTGGGATGATTCTGAGGCAGGTGGTCCTGGGGGCACTTTCTGAGAAAACTTGGCCTGCATTTTCTAGGACCTAGGAGAGTAAGACCTTTGTGGCCCCTCCCACCAAGAAAGGGCTTTAAAAGCTCCACATTCATTGGTGCTTTCTCCTCAAGATACAAAGCCCGAAGGCCTCATCCCTTCCACTCAGGTGCTGAGATGAGCTCAAATGATGAGAGCTGAAAGTCTGAGCTCAAAAAAGGGACGGAGAGATGTATAAAACAGTTCAATCAACTTTTCTACTGGAGGCCTTCTCAGCACTGTCATTGTCAGTCTCCAGGAGGGACAATACAGGATGCCAAATTTCCAATAATTATTCAACCAGGGAGCTCTTTTTATTTCCATTTGTGGATGACCAGGTTAATCAGAGTTCTGTAGAGTATTCCCTAGAGAGGAATGTCGCAAATCTCTATATAGCATGAGGTGTTCCCCATCTCTTTGAACATGAGACTCCTTTCTTTACAGATCAGGGCACTGTAAGATAAGGGAATTACTAAGCAAATCTGTTCCTCGGCAATGAAACTGCCAAGAAAAGCACCCATGGCTGCACCTATCTTCAAAGCCAATAGCTATATTTTTGGAGAATGAATAACTTCCTCCAGATCTGTGGCTGGCAAACTACTGTAAAGGGCCAGAGAGTCAATGTGTTTGGCTTTGTGGGTAGTCTCTGTTGCAATGACTCAGCTCTGCCACTGCAGTGTGAAAGCAGCCATAGATGATATGTAAATAAGTAAGTGTGGCTGTGTGCTCATAAAACTTTATTTCTAGATTAAATTTCATATAATTGAGATTAAATTTCATAAAACTTGAACGTCATATTATCTGTATCACAAAGTACCTTTCTTTTGACGCGCCCCCCCCCCATCATTTAAGAATGTAAAAATCATTCTTAGCTCATGGGCCATAGTTGGATGCCAAATCCTATAACCAAATCGTTTACATCTTAAATGAGGCCTGTAGGAGGAAAGGAAAAACTCATCCTCCTTATCTGTAGAATAGCTTCAGTTAGAAACTTAGAGAAGAATAGGGAAATTAACTCTTATTACATGGGTTTCCTTCATCCTCTATATTCCGTTTATTAGACTTGTCAATAACTTCTCCAAAACAGATCCTAAGGCTGGACACTTCTCTCCATCTGCATCAACACCATGCTAGTCTGAGCTGCTATCCTCTCCTACCTGGACCCCTGATACCACCTTGTCACTAGCTCCTGGCTTTACGCTTGCCACTATAGTGTATCAGATCCTATGAAAACACAAATATATCTTGTTATTCCTTTAATCAGAGGCTCCAAGACTCCCCATCAACAGAGAATAAAAATCCAGAGCCCTTCCAGTTACCTACAGGGCTCCGTAGGATCTGGCCCCTCCAGTCCCTGCCTTTCTCATGCTGGATATTCTAGCCACAATGTTTCTCAGTCCTAAAATGCTCCAGGCCTCCTCCTGCCTCAGGACTTTTGCACCAGCTCTTCTCCCTATGGGCATTCTCAACTCATCTCCAGCCCCATCCTCCACAACTGGCTCCTTATCATTCAGGTCTCAGTTCATTTGTCCTTTCTTGGATTTTAAATGCCCCTCTCCCCAGTACTCTGGAGCACATACTCCTGTTTTATTTTCTTCCTCGCCCTGTATTTCCCTGTTTGTTTATTTTCTTCCTCCTTGTTCCTCTTCCCTCCACTACCAGACAGGAAGTTCCCCAAGGGTAGAGACCTGACCTGCCTTACCGATCGCTCCATCCTCAGCTCCTAAAACACAGTGAGGTCTCAACTCTTACTGTCAAATGCATGTCCATGAGCCAGGAACACACTAGTTCACTAGTTCCTGCTAGTGAGTGTCAAAAACCTGTTGGAATCTACTGATTGGTGAGAACTTGTGAAAAAGTTACTGACTCCTGCCAGCAGCAGGCTTGTGCTACAGGGGCAGGTGATGCCTCCTGGTCCAGAACGAGCCCCCTAGACCAGGAAGACTATGCACTGTGCTGTTGGTATCTGCAGGTTGCATTCCTGGGGGGGTCTGCCTGGCCCATCCCTTGTCCTGGGCCCCAAAATGCTGGGTGTGTGTGGGGAGAGGAGGGCGAGGACCGCTGCTCCAGAGACACCTTTCCCATGACATCTACCTCCCCCCGCTCTGACACACACACCCAGCTGCCTCCTGGAAAGCTTGGGGTTGAATCAGGGCCTGGGGCCCAGGGACAATTTTTCTTTCTGGCTACTTTCCCAAAGCCAGAGAAAGGCCTTAGCAGGGTGACACTTTCCCACTAGACACTCAAGTCCTGGTATCAATCTCCTGGGATCCCTGTCACCAGCCACATAGCCCAGCAAGTGAGCCAAACTTTCAAGCCACTAGGCTCTCACCCAATTCAAAATGATAAAAATAAACGTGAACAGTGTAATTCTGAGGGCTGAACAGGAAGCAACAATCATTATAATAACAGTAGCAGCTAACATAGTCTGAGCAATTACTGTGTATTTGATGCTCAACTTGTATTCTCTTATGAGATCCACAGAACAGTAACATGAGATTAAAATGATCACCAATGATCACTGCCCCCAGCTTAGACTGAAGGAAACTGAGGCCCAGAGAAGTGAAGTAACTCACCCAAGAGCACAAAGCTAGAAAGCAGTGGCCTGTTTTCAGGACAAGCAAACCAAGCCAGTGTTCCCTAGCCTAGTCAAATGACCCCTCTGGGCTTGAGCCCTTCAAATGTAAAAGTTATGGGGTGTTGGGGAGGCAGTCAACAAGAGTAGATAATTGGAATCCTCTCTTTCTGTTCAAAATTCACCTTTGTAACAGGTGATGATGATCTTTCTGGCAACTTGGTTATTTCTAGATTTTTACTGAAAATTAATCTCCGTCTTTCCTAACTTTCAAAGGGCCTTACCACCACTCAAAGAGAGTGTGGCCTAGAAATATTCCCTGGAGAAATGAGATGCCCCCACTTCCCCCACCCAGCCTTATCTCAAATTCTTGGGGTAAAGCTTTGGGAGAGCTTGAAACACAATCCATCTCCTTGAAGTTTATTGACTGATTTTAAAAGTGGCAGTTTGCACACTGCCACTCAGCTCTGCTGATGCCAAGCTCCAAAGCAAGATAGAGAATAAGGAAAGTAGACTTGGCTTGGCTATTAAAAAAAAAAAAAAATCTTCCCCAAGCTGGCAGATCTGGTCACCTGACAAAGCAGTCCCTCAGGTTCTCCTTTAACAGACTTGGAGAACTTACTTCCCCTTCCCTCTGACCTCAGTGTCCCCCTCCTGTCCACGTGGCTCTGGAGGCTAGTACCAACTCAGTGACATGCGACCCAGTTGACACCAACTTGACTGACACAAAAACATTTGTTTGGCCAACACAAATCTAAAGAATTTAAGAAACTTCCTCAGGTTTGCTTCCCATTCCCAGAAAAGGACACCTGGATGGGCAGAACAGCTAGGAATGGTTGGTCCCATCTCTGGTAACAGGCCCCCTGCCCAGGTCCCATACCAGGTCTGAGACAGCAGCCCACTGAGAAGCAATCAAGTTTCTGTTCCTCCTACTCAGCCATTCAAGATCACTCCTCCCTGCTACAGGCATCGCTTTCTGCAAACCAAAATCCTCCAGGCTAAAGCGATTCTCCTACCCACAGCTTCTCCATGAAACTTTGTCTCTGCCTCATCTCAGAGAGAAGAATGCAGATTTAGTGAGATAGCAGATTTAATGAGACAGCAGGGTTGAAATAAAAACGAGCTAACAGTTACTCTATCAAACACATTCAGAAACATTAAATGGGGTAAAAATTCAAAGATGAACCTTAGAGAGATCCCTAAAAGGAATTAGTAAAAGGGGCGATGGCAATGGTTCTCCCCATTTTACAGGATGGAAAACTGAGGCCACGGTTGTAACAGGTAGAGCCCTGGGAACGACTGGGGTTTCTAAAGAGACTCAGCACAGGTGGCCTCCCAACGCTTAGGAAAGCGGAAAGGCCCAGGCGGTACCTGCCCCGCCGGGTTACTGGGGGTGCCGGCCTGCCCCGCCCACATCTTACGAACTAGCTCCACCCACGCACCTCGGCCCCCGTCTCACCCCTCCCTAGCTCCTATTGGCCTAACCTCCGCAAGCCCGCCCCT